AGTGTCTATGGCCTTTTTGAATCAAATTTTGATGAAAACTAATTGCTCATACAAGAGCATCATCACTAGATTGCTCATAGAACAACATCCTTACATCAGACGAACTAATTCTCTTTTACTGCGTTGGGAGGAAGACACTTTGTTTGAAGAAAAAAGGCAATTTTCAAACTATATCAATATTTACATTTAATTCTTACTGTACACCTTTGACTTATTCCTGCCATTAGGATGCTATTATATGGTCTTTTCAAATCATTAAGTAATGAATACCAATTAAGTTAAACAACTTCTTTAACCCTTGCACAGAAATAAGTGATAATATGAGACATATTCATGCATATTCTCTTTGTGAATTGCAAATAAAACTTTATGATGGAAGATAAAAAGAATTTGTTAAAAGGTCACACATGTTATTTCGGACAAACTCATGATTCTTAATTCTTTTCTGGAAAGTTCCTTCTAATTTGTGTCCATGCCTTCCTGAACCAAATACGTTTAATTCTATGTAGTCTTTGTAATACATATAGTAACAGACCATGTCTTCAATTTGTTTTAAGGCAGGATACATAGGAACTGTAAATCATAAAAGAGAAAATTTCGATAGTTTACAATTCAGTTTGTTTTGGACAAGAGACAGCATAACTAAAAATCGGGCTTAATCTCCGAAATACTGTGATAAGGAAAAGATATGATTGAAAGAACACTCATTTACCTTAGTTGTGTTTCTTTCTTTAAGCATTTACCTGATATACTACATGCAGTATTTATTATATTAAAGTGAATGTTTCATACAAACACAAAGAAAGTTGAAGCACAGTCACTATTTTTTTTGGAATATAACCCGTCGTCAAGCGATATTGACTGTACCCCTAAACCATTCTTGGTACTTTTTTCTTAAATCAAAAACACCTGTAGGAAAAAGTAATAGTATTGAAAACAACGTTACATTATAGGTATTGTGTGTATTATTTAATTGAAAGTTTTAGAAAAAAAAAAGTTATTTCTCCTCTATTTTTTCTAAAAACAAATTCTTTATCTGAGTACCATTACCCGTTGATTAAAATTTGACACAATTAATGTATATCTGAAATATACTAGATTTTTTGGAAGACTTTGTTTCTAAAAATCTTCGTTAGCATTGTCAGTCAGAAATCTAGCACCATATTTAATATCACATTGAGAATACCTGTGTGAAGATTTAGATTACAAAAACATATAACTGATATTTCAGGAGGTCCGTGGTTTATGTTCTGTTCACAGATTTCATTTGTTTAGATTTTTTTTATTGAGATATGACTGACGTTTTTCATACTAATTGTTAGGCCATTATTTACACACTTAAATGTCGACGGATTTTTCCGTTATTTCCCGATCATGACAAGGAGCACACGTCGGGTGTGATCGGTCGGCAGGGGATGCTAACTCCTCCATGACACCTGATTCCACCTCTGTTTTGGAGGTCCGTGTTTGCTCTGCTCCTATTTTGTAATGTTTTATGGACTTTTGAGCTTGAATACTGTTCATTTTCTCCATATATTTCATGAATTAATGATCGTAACAAAGTAAACAGTAACAACAAAGTATACAAAGTAACAAAAAAGTAATCTCTCATATTGTATTTATAGAGGATATTCAATGTTTTGTAGATGAATATGGAATTTATTTCACGAGTGGGACAGGTTTTTTTTTATATTTTCACGAGTGCGAAGCACGAGTGAAAATATCAAAAAATCCTGTCTCACGAGTGAAATAAATTCCATATTCATCTACAAAACATTGAATTTTCTGTTTATTACATTTTCTTTGATTTTTCCTTGTCTTTTCTTAACACAGTGTCATAGGCTTGACGTCATAGTTGAGCGGTTGAGACGTCATAGCTTAGAAGTTGTGTGTCAGACTGAAAACATTACATAGCATGAATTTTAGCAACATATTTAGGAAGAAATTTGCAGTTTTAGCTCTATCAAGATATTTAGTTACTGTCTCTATCTTATGACAGGCCAGAAATTATTTTTTACTTACTTTGATATCCTTTCACACTGTGAGAGAATATCATTTTTGGTATTCTTTCACACTGTGAGAGAATATCACTTTTATTCAATAAATAAATCACAGTATTTCACTGTTGAAAATGTAATAAAGTGTTGTATACCACATGTATTTCAAAAAGTTCTGAAACGTAATGGGGCTCCTGAAAATGAATTTTATAAACCTAATAGATTTAAAACTCATCACAATTATATAAGAAATATATGGAGATAACGAACAGTATTCAAGCTCCAAAGTCCATTAAACAATTCAAATTTTGGAGTAGACCAAACACGGACCTCTGCAAAGGTTGAGAAAACGAACAGTGATAAATATCATAGATCCAGTATTAAAAAAACGAATCGTTAACGGGATAAAAACTAGGAACCCTGAATACAGCAGAGATGAGATCAGGTGGCCTAGAAGGAGGAAACACCCCTTGTAGATAGGTCACATCCGCCGTGATCCCCTTGTATGGTTCACGTAGAAGTAGTACTCCGTAGTCAAAACAAAAATCAAAAACCAAAACAAACAAACAAACAAACAAACAAACAAACAAAAAACAAACAAACAAACAAACAAACAAAAAAAAACAATAACAGAAAAAAAAAACAAAAACAAAAAAACAATAGCAACAAAAAAAAAAAAAAACAAACCAAAAACAAAAACAAAAAACAAAAACAATAAACAATGACCTCCCAATTTATATTAATATGCCAGAGAAAATATGACTAAATAATAAGTTATATTTACAAACAAGGACAATACAGTGGCTGCAACTGCAATGTTGACATAATGATCGCGCAGATTTGTTCGTGTAGCATGCCTGATTGTTCATGTAACGTGAGAGATCGTTCGCGTTACGTGAGAGATTGTGAGTGAATCGGTTTCAATCGTTTGAGTTGTTTACTGTAATAAGATATTGTATGACCTCGAAACAATACCAAATTCAGTTAAAAGAAGATTTGATAAGCACTTAACAAGTTAGATTTTTTTGTCTATGAAAAAATTCCCTTCATATAGGTACTCTTTGTTTTCATCCCATGAGGATAATGGCCTTTTAAATTAAAATTTTAAATGAATACTAATTGCTCATAAATGTATTCGTTTTACTTGTGTAGAAATTGATACTTACAGCAGAAGAGCTCGTTCTCTTGTACTGCGTTGGGAGGAAGACAATACGTTTGAAGTAAAAGAGAATTTTCAAACTTGACTTATTGAGCGCAGCAACTCTTGTTACACTTGCACAGACATAGATGGATACATGAGGCAAATTAATGTATATCTTCTTTGGTAATTGCGGTTACAATGTGAAGATAACAAAAAGTGATCGATCTCATACAAAAATTACAAGAAATACAAATTTGTGAGCAGGGCATAAAACATAAACCCCTGGAAATTCCATAGGTGAGATCGGGTGCCTAGGAGGAGTAAGCATCATCTGTTGACCGGGCACATAATTTGTCGAAATGCGCATCTGGTGCATCAAAATTAGTACCGTATATGATTTACATTATGACCCTCGGGTCGAGGCCTCTGCTGGTGGACTGTTATTCCCCAAGGGTCTTTACAGCCCAGTAACCTAGTACTTTGGTACTAGCTTGAAAAATACGGATATAAATTTAATTTCTGTGGTAAAATTTTCAAAATTTATTTCGAAATTAAGGATTATCTCCCTCATGCATAGCTCTAATCCTTCAACGTTTTCGGCTCTAGGCTAGACTTTGGTACCTTTTCAGCTCTTCCAAGTCTGTTTTATTTAAATATTTTGGATTTCCAACGTTTCGGCTTGAGCATCACTGAAGAGACATAATTTGTCGAAATGCGCATCTGGTGCATCAAAACTAGTACCGTGTATGATTTACATGTACTTATTCTTTTGAGGCTTGCAAATAAGACTAGATGGTTTATGACATAGAAATATTTTATTTATTCCAATTACCTTTTGAGGTATTTTCAAAAACATTTTTTAAGACGGTCCTTAGCCTCATTGAACAATGCATATTTACCTCAAATTTGCTTAAAAAATATGAAGATAACGAGTAGTAGTCAATCTCAAAAGTCAATTGGAACCATACAAACTGGGTGGAGAGTAAAGATGGACCTCTTAAAACATCGGAAGTGCGATCAGGTGCCATTGAGAAGTAAGCATACTCTGTCAATCGGTCACACCCACTATGTGCTCCCTGTCATGATCAGACAAACGGAAAAATCAATAGACAATTCATAAAAGATACGTTTTTATACCATTTTGACGTCATAAAATCCAATCAAGTCTGCTATATGCACAGCTAGGACTGTCACATTATTTGTTTGGAGTGATTGTATATTTTAGCTATTTTGGACTACAGTTAACGGTCACAATGTGGTTATTAGACGCAAGCCCGGTCACAATCACTTTCTGTGTCTTCGGTCAATATCATTTGCCATGGTTTCTTAAAACCACATATCGAGCTTCCCTGAAGTCCACACTGTATTTCAACATTTAGCTTAATATTTGAAAAAATATACAAGGTATTCTTCATACCATTATAACACCTAGCTCACTATTAGAAATCATGCAAAATATATTCAATATATCATTTCAACATTCAGCTTTATACATGTTTTATATATCATTTATAAAATATTTAATGTACCATTTTAATCTTAATCTCTATGAAAGATATCTTTTAAAACATATTCAAATCTATCATTTTTAAATTGACCTCAATATCATATTGCATTTTGCATGCTTAGGATCCAGTCATCTTCGTTCACAAAATCGATTTTTCAGCAATGACGTAATATTGAAAACATACCAACCAGCTTACCTAATACGTTGAGTGTTTGACATTTATACTTGCCAGCTTTAGACCAATTAGTCATTTCTTAAAGGAACTCTGAAATTGTCACAATACACAAAGAATAATATGAGCAATCTTTGGGTTGTCTTTTTAATTGCTGCCTTCTTTACAGTGTCTCAGGCGACCATGTATTCTCGGAGATATGACAGAAACCTGGACTTTGACAATAAAAAGTCTGAACACGAACTGTTAGGAGAGTACAATTCTATATCATTTAATGACTGCGCAGAGAAGTGTCGAAAAGAGTGTGGCGTCTTTGGATATAATGATGGATTGATGAAGTGCCGGACCCACAAGAAACTTCACAAGACTTCAGTGTCTGATCAGGCCGGCTGGAGATATTTTTTTCATGATTGTATGTACTTTTTCATATTTTCTTCAAACAAATCACGAAACGCGCTATATACTAATCATTAGCATCAATAACTATCATCACTACACTTGTATTAGGTATATGAGGTTACTCAATATTTATTTTTAAATAATATTTTGAATGAAGTCACGTTACTGCAAATTTGAGTTGATATAACGGGGAGAGTATCATAACTTGTACATTCCTTTTTTATGAGATGTAGAGAGTATTTTACGTTGATGTTGAATTCAGGACTCTTGATTGTTGATTTACGCTTCGATGTATTGTTATAGTGCTGAACATTTGCATTAGTATAGTTATTCCTATATATCATTTGATATACAGCGTAATCAAAACAAACAGAAAAAGTACAATGTGAAATGCTTCCATTTACACGTCGGCAGACAGGGTTAGAATTTACAGATAGTATATATATTAGACTGAAAAAAGGATATCAGCAGTCTCGATTGAAGTCATCATTTCGCAAATTTTGTGGTCGATACAATGACCTTGTCAGCAAATATTAGATTCTCACAAGTGATTAATATGGATAAATGGAAGACATTTTATGTGAAGCTACAAAAGAAGTATGTTCTCTAACTGACGGTGGGCTATTTGACTTATAGCCTGTTTTGTTTAATTTGCGATCAAGAGTGGAAAATACCTTCATATTTTTGGGTAAGATGAAGTTCTCCTAAAATATTTACTATACAATAAAATTCAGACTTGCCCCTAGCACTTTATATGTAAGATAGGATACGATTAATTGATTTATATAACAAAATGTTCAAAATGATTATGTTCATTACTTGTTCCGATGCGATTTTTGCACAACCTTTCGGAAATATTATGTGTTTGTCACTCGATCACCGAAGTCATGTGACTTCATAAAAATGCGTTATTATGATACCTGATCAAACTGTCTATGCAAGCTGGTTGTACATATATTCATGAATTACAAAGTCAAGTCAGTACCTTATTCAAAATAAAAAAAATATGCTTTTTAATGTATTTTAAATCTTCAGGCAGCCTTAAAATAGCTGCGTCCGTATGTTTACCCTGATTACAATTGGTATCGTTTGATGGATTGAAAAGGTTGATCAGTAATCATTATCTTCACTTTTCATTTGTTCATATTGCATCCTTTGCAAGTATTTCAGATTAATATTAATCTTGTAGACACTGTGTTTTTCTTTCTTAATTCCTGAATAACATAACCATCTGCGTTTCTGTGGATTTTTTTATGCTATATGATATGTCTTGTGCTAAAAAAAAGAAGCATTTTTAAATGTTCAATGGATATGAGTTCGAGTGTATAAGATGGGAATCCTGCTCCATGGAGTAGTAAGCATCCTCTGTCGACCGGCCAGATCCGCCGTGTGCCTCTTGTTCTGATCAGCTAAACGAAAAGCTGGTGGATAATTCTTTGTGAAAATAAAGGCCTTACAATCTGTATGAAAGATGTCAGTCAACATTCGACATAACGACAGACTGTATCTGCAAACAAAGTAATTGTATCGACCATAGACTTTGTGAAACGTTCACTTTTACATACATTATATCAGCTGTTGAGAGTAACGATATCATGGTTAGTAATTTTATCAGAAGTAAAACAAGAATAGATATGGGTTATCCCATATCCAAGATATTCAACTTTTAATTTACTCGAATTTTCACTCTGCTCAGATGATTTCTTAGAAAAGAAAAACAAATTGAACTTGTCCGTAGCAAAACCGTCACCAGTCTTGCGTCACTAGCAAACAGTGTGGACACTAGACCAAATAGCCTATAAACACGTGCGATCAGATTGTCTATCGCATCTTCTCGAACCTTTCCGGCGAGCTCGGAAAAACACGTTAGAAAAGAAAAACACACACACAGAATTAATTATTAACATTCTTTTTTTTTTTAGAAGAAATTATATGACAATTAACGAACAAAAATCACGAAAGTACTATAATTGGTGAAAAGATTGTCAATAGAAGAATGACCTATATATTTAATTTTCGTGAAAAAGACTGAGAAGGTAGCTAGAGTAGGAATATGAATACTTTTTATATGCATATCTTGGGAAAAAGTGATTTTCTTGAAATCATTTTACGTTAATTTTGTTTTCCTTCACGTTTTACACACACATCGTTATTGTTAACATTTGTTGTAATGTTGTATCTGCTGACCATGAATGGAACTATATTTTTTCAGAGCAATTGTGTTAAGAGTACCTGACTTTAGTAATATACCTTGAATAGATAGTATGCACTGATCGAATATATTAATAAGTTCTTCTTCACTGTCCACGTGGTACATCACCTGATGATCATAGAAATGCATTCCTATTATTACATACATTATAAATCACAATTTTAAAACTTCAGCAATTAACCTTATTTATCTTGCAGGTTTAATGTATCCTCTCACTCCCTGTATATATACATAATATGATTCCATTATTATTATTATTATTATTATTCTGTTTTTTCTGCTTCAGTTATTCCTACAGATTGTAAGGATCTTCGGAAAGATGGTCACACTAATACAGGAGTGTATGAAATCTATCCCTATGGCACAATTACCAGTCCTGTCAGAGTTTACTGCGATATGGAGACAATGGACGGAGGATGGACGGTATCTAATTTATTTCAAAATTAATAGTATATTATATAATTTAAAAATTAATAGTATATCATATAATTTCAAAATTAATAGTATATCATATAAATTCAAAATTAATAGTATATCATATTATTTAAAAATTAATAGTATATCATATAATTTAAAAATTCATAGTATATCATATAATTTCGAAATTCATAATATATCATATAATTTCGAAATTCATAGTATATCATATAATTTTAAAATTAATAGTATATCATATAATTTCAAAATTAATAGTATATCATATAATTCACACTAAGTTGTTTACTTGTTGTTAAGAATATGGGATAAAAAAAATATGAATATTTTGAGTTTCTATCATAACATATTGATCATACAATTGTTCGAAACAATGAATTATATTGTTATACATGTTAATATTTAAAGGCAATTCAGAAACGGGTAAATGAATCCCTGAACTTTCACAGGAATTGGACAGAATATAAGAATGGTTTTGGTTCACCGGAACAGAATGTCTGGGTTGGTAAGTGTAAATCGCTTTTAAATAGGAGCTATCATCCGTTTCAAAGTTTGACAAAATTTCTTTATTGTGGCAGATAAAAAATGGAAGCGTATCAAGGATCTAATTTCAAGACTGGGTAATATGTGTTCAACGATACACACTTATACTCACTGTTTAATTGATGTCTTAAATAATAAGAAAAGAATGAATGTGAGAGGAAAAAATCAATTCGTAGCATAGGAAAACAATTTGAATATTCATACTCAAAATAGAGTTAATTGTATAACAAAGGAATTTTAAGTTGACTTGAAATATATCTTAATGCAGGAAATGACGTAATTCATCAATTAACAAAAGAAAAGGACTGTTTCCTATATGTGTCCATCACTCTCCAGAATGGTACAACGCTGTATGAAATGTACGACCTATTCTCGGTCTCCGATGAAACAGAGAAATATCAACTCTTTCTTGCAGGACCTGCCACGGGAACCTTAGGTACGTGATAGGGAGTACAAGAACGAAAGAAGGAGAGAAAAGAAAGAGAGAAAAAAGAAGGAGGAGAAAAAAAGAGAAAGATATATGGTTGCAAACACGACTAAAATATATTTGTTCATACCTGTAATAGTATCAAAAATCACTTATATGTCATTTTGTTCAAACCATCAAGAGTTTATTTTACAACACTCGCACAAAATTCAATTAAGCAAATAAATAAGGTAATTCACAGCTTACTTAGCGAATTCGATGGTCGATGCAATGATTGATTGCAACAGCACTGTGTCCTTTGATGGAAAAATTTTCATACAGATTGTAATGTCATTATTTGATACCGAATTTTCTACGGAATGTCTACTCAATCTTGATAATAAGCTCACGGCAGAATTGACTGGTCAACAGGAGATGCTTCATCAGCCAAGCCACCTGAACACTTTTTGTCTTTTCAGCGACCGCGAGTTCTCTGCTCTCGTTTTGTAATGTTTTATGTGACTTTTGAAAATGATTACTTATCGTTATCTTACATTCCATTCCAGAGCACCTGATAGATTTTCCTTGTATTTGTATGCAAGCTAAGTTCTTAAAATTGGGTTCAAACAAGTATACAATCATATATTTTTTGTATAGAAAAGTTATTAGTTGTTGAAAAAGAAACGACAGAGAGACATTTCTTTTCTAATGTACTGTAAACATCTTTAATTCCACGTTTTTAATATTTCACAATATCCTTTGTTGGTACAATTCACGAGTTCTACGTTTACTGAATTTTTCATTGCTAAGTATTTGAAATTTAAAATGATATTCTTTAAACACAAAGAAATGTGCTAAATTATTTGTAACAAGAATATCAGTGACTGCCTTTAATCGCCATTGTTAATAATTTTTGGTATCTTAATGATTTTCAATAATTTATATTTTTAAACATTGTCGCGAAAATTTCATGATTTACATTACTTCGGAATAGGACGTTTACAGCGCGTACTTGATATACATTATGTCGACAATATTCACGAAAGCTTGATGTTCGAAGAAAATTATTTGATCGGGAACATAGCCAGATTGAAAAAAAGTAAAATTCAAAACATTCCAAGGCATTTCGTTTTTACAATACCTTTCCTATATTATATTAAATGAAAATCTAATATTTTAAAACATTTTAAATGATTTGCCTTCTATTTCGTTTTATATATTTTTAATTTATAGTCTCCAACAGATATTATTTTTTTCATATATTCACTTTTATAATATTCCAAGTGACCTTTGCCACAATTTTTTTTTTTTTTTTTTTTTTTTTTTTTAATCATACTTTATAAGTGTAACACACCTGGGGTTTATTGTTACATTTGAAAGGGTGCAATTCGAATTGTATTGTATTTTTTGTATTATCTCTCTCCCCAGGAGACAGCATGTCAAGTCATGATCAGTCTGGGTCATACCTCAGTTTTATTGACTTTAAGATTAATACAAGTATAGCTTTTTCAAAAAGCTTTGCCATCTTTAGCAACAACCTTAAACAGTTAACTGACCTATACCTATCAGGAAATATATTTTTGTGCATTTCTTGGCTTTGTAATTTTTCATCAGCTTTTTACTGATATTAGAAAATTTCATGATTTACAGTACTTCGGAATAGGACGTTTACAGCGCGTATTTGATATACATTATGTCGACAATATTCACGAAAGCTTGATGTTCTAAGAAAATTATTGATCGGGAACATAGCCAAATTGAAATAAAAACCAAATTCAAAACACTCCAAAGCATTTCAATTTTAGCTCTACTGGTTCAGAGACCAGAAGAGCTTATGCGATAGTAAGGTGTCCGTCGTCCGTCCGTCTGTTTGTCTGTCTGTCTGTCTGTAAACAATTTTTCAAAACGCTACTCCTCCTACAGTTATGGTCTGATTTCAATATAACTTGGCACACAAGTAGACTACACTAAGATACATAATTAATGTATCGGTTTTTGATTTCGGTGAACGGTGTTGCCATGGTTACTAAAAATAGAAATTTCTGTGAAATTCCTTTTAAACGCTTCTCCTCCTATAGTTTTGGTCTGATTTCAATATAACTTGGCACACAAGTACACTACACTAAGGTACATAATTTAGTGCATCGATTTTTGATTTTGATGAATGGTTTTGCCATGGTACTAAAAATAAAAATTTCTGTAAAATTCCTTTAAAACGCTACTCCTCTTACAGTTTTGGTCTGATTTCAATATAATTTGGCACACAAGTACACTACACTTAGATACATAATTTAGTGCATCGGTTTTTGATTTCGATGAACGGTGTTGCCATGGTTACTAAAAATAGAAATTTCTGTAAAATTCCTTTCAAACGCTTCTCCTACAGTTTTGGTCTGATTTCAATATAACTTGGCACACAAGTAGACTACACTAAGATACATAATTTAGTGCATCTTTTTTTGATTTCGATGAACGGTGTTGCTATGGTTACTAAAAATAGAAATTTCTGTGAAATTCCTTTAAAACGCTAGTCCTCCTACAGTTTTGGTCTGATTTAGATATAACTTGGCACAAAAGTACACTACACTAAGGTACATAATTTAGTGCATCGGTTTTTGATTCTGATGAATGGTTTTGCTATTGTAACAAAAAATAGAAATTACTGTGATATTTCTTTAGAAACGCTACTCCTCCTACAGTTTTGGTTTGATTTAAATATAACTTGGCACACAAGTACACTACACTAAGGTACATAATTTAGTGCATCGGTTTTTTTTATTTTGATGAATGGTTTTGCCATGGTAACTAAAAATAGAAATTTCTGTAAAATTCCTTTAAAACATTACTCCTGCTACAGTTTTGGTCTGATTTTAATCTAATTTGGCACACAATTAGACTACACTACTATACATCATAGTGTGTATCGGTTTTTGATTTCAGTGAATGGTGTTGCCATGGTTACTTTAAATAGAAATTTCTGTGAAATACTTTCAAAATGCTACTCCTCCTACAGTTTTTGTTAGTATAACTTGGCACACAAGTAGACTTAATTAAGATACATAATTCTATTAATTGCTGCATGTTGCAAAGTTTCAAATCCGAGTACAGACCAGTAGAGCTACAGTCTCATCAGTCTCATCAGAGACTTCTGGTTACAATACCTTTCCTATATCATATTAAATGAAAATCTTATATTTTAAAACATATATAGGAACATCATTTCTTACCTTGTAATCATTTAATTTTTAATTTATTTGCCTTCTAATTCGTTTTATATATTTTTGATTTATAGTCTCTAACAGATATTAATTTTTCATATATTCACTTTTATAATATTCCAAGTGACCTTTACCACAAAAATATTTTGTTGTTTTTTTTTTAATCATACTTTAAAAGTGTAACACACCTGGAGTTTATTGTTACATTAGAAAGGGTGCTATTTGAATTGTATTATATTATTTTGTATTATTTCTCTCCACAGGAGACAGCATGTCAAGTCATGATCAGTCTGGGTCGTACCTCAGCTTTATTGACATTAAGATTAATACAAGTATAGCTTTTTCAAAAAGCTTTGTCGTCTTTAGCAACAACATTAAACAGTAAACTGACCTATACTTATCAAGAAATATTATTTTTGTGCATTTCTTGGCTTTGTAATTTTTCATCAGCTTTTTACTGACATTAACCCTACCATGTGAAAGTTCAGCCAGACGCTCAGATTTCTTCGACTTTGCTGCTGGTCGGAGTTTACTGAGAAAGCCGAACGTCTGGTTGAACGAGATTAGAAATAATGCAAAGCAAGGAAAAAATAACAAATACGAGCTGAAAAGCTGGCGTACAACAAAAACATTTCTGTTTACAATGAAAATATAAAAACACTTTTTAGTAATTGCTTTAAAAAATTAAAGTGTTATTTAGATTTATTTATTGCCATTTTCCACTGTTCGCTTTGTCATTTTTTCAGATTGAAAATCTTTAAAAATTGTTAAGTCGTACGAAAATAAGATCACAAGAAAATTATCTCCCTTGCCTTGAAATGCATTTCAACCAATGAAATAATTGAAAGTTTTCACATCATGCAATTTCTACCAATCACAAAAGAGAGGAAGTGCACAGTACGAAGACGGTAATGATACCAACCAACCATCTCTGTAATATATTTACTGTAATTGTACAGGTGACAGTATGTTAAGCACGGGAATTTCTACTAAATATCTGTCTGGGATGTCATTTAGTACACCAGACAGAGATAACGACAGGACTGGAGAAAACTGTGCCAGTCGCTTTGGAGGAGGCTGGTGGTTTAACTCCTGTCACCGGGCCTTCCTTAACGGGCCCTGGTACCCGGCAGTGTGGGTCAATCCTTGGTTTACTACAGTTCCTTCCGGCTCATCTGTGAGAAAGACGATGATGTTGATCCAACGTCACTAGGTAAACAACATTAAATCTTAATACTCAGTATTTACTCTCTGGTAATTCACTGATCATTTTAAACGGTTATAAGAAAAATCTATAAGAGGTAAAAAACGTTCGTTTTTATTTTATTTATTTATTATTATTTTTTAAACATTATTTAATTCTTTTATTTTCAACAGATAAATATTTAAAGACTGAGAAACCACAGATAGACTGCCACCCATCAATAAGACGAAACATCTCTGATAAAAGGGACAGTTTTAAATTTATCTTGATCATGGTATTCTATTCATTCTTTTTTTAAACTTAATGTTTAACATCAAGTGAGTAAACCTGTAAACGATTATGTTTTGAGGGGGTTTTGTGGATGAACTATGTCCTAAAGTAATAATTTTTTGCTTATTTTTCTTTACCGGATGTACCAAGTAAGAGCTGTACATTATATGTGTTGTAATAAATTGGAAATTAGAAATATTTTCTTCTTATTTACCAACACTGTAACACGAAGATGATTTTCATACCTCTTAATACTAGTCAATTAGCTGTAAAAAATAAAGGGGGAGGGGGGAAATATTCAAGTTTATATATATATATATATATATATATATATATATATATATATATATATATATATATATATATATATATATATATATATATATATATATATATAATTCTAAATGCTTATCATATAACTGTAAAAAAAAAGACCTTATATTGTGCGGGAATAAACAATTTTTTCATACTTCTAAATACTTATCAAATAACTACAAAAAGATCATTATAGTGTGCGGGAAAACTATTTTGGGCATACAAACTTGGACCCCATTTTGTCGCATTTCTCGTACCCCTAAGGGTCATATTTGAAAAAAAAACTAGAAAATTCTAAATACCGTAATAAACATAATTTTTACGAAATTGTGGTATTAAACAATCATTCCTGTATTATTTTTAAAAGACCCTTTTCCCTTTTATAACATTTACGAGAACCTTTGGGGAAAAAAGACGACTCGTAAAAATCTTTAAAATGTCTATATCTCAGATCCTGAAGTGAAGTCATCACCAAAAAATTATCGACCCGGCTCAAATTGTTATTTATCATACCCAAAATTTGCAAGAATATTGACCAAGCCATGCACATTTTTTTTTCAAAGTGCGTTAATATGGTCGATATTAACGTACTTTGGAAAGAAATATTATTTTCAAAGTGCGTTAACGTGGTCCGAAATTTAACGCTCTTTGAAATGGGTGTAAGTTCCCCACATCAACCTGAAAGCGAGTGTAGATAATGAGACGTCACAATACATAGTCTTTGTACATGCTAGCCAAAAAGTTAGAAATATAAAGTAAAATATATAAATTAATTAACGGACAAACAATTGCAAAACTGAAACTTCTAGATATTATTACAAATTCAATAAATATAAATATAAATAAATACAAATTTTAAAAATGAAATAAATCATAAGGCCTAGAACTTTTTGGAGGAATCATACAAAGCCATGCAAGGGCATAAGGGGAATTGCTCAGGGGTATATTCCATAAATCCTGGAGTGCATACCCTGGACTTTTCAGCTTGAATACTGTTCGTTATCTCCATATATTTCACTATAAAAGTATCTACCTTCACAAGAAAATTACTTAAGACATCACTGATTCATTAAATGACAGACCTAAAAAATGATATTCCGCTACAATGCACGCCGTCAAAAGTTGATTAACACTTTTGCGATACATTGATTCAAAATAATTTTTGTTATATCATTGTGTCCCATGTAGCATTCAAAATCAGAACTTTTTTTTTGTTCCATATTCTTTTTTTCAACATATTATCTATATATGATCAAACAGTCTTTTGACAACGATGCTTACTTTGGACATTCATGATACTGACTGGTGTTATTATGCTTATACATGTATATATGATTAAACAGTCTTTTGACACCAATGCTTGACTTCGGGCATTCATAATATTGACTGGTGTTAATATACTTAGTATCAGTATACTTAAGATAGGGAAGAATATCCATCACATGAAAAAATTCCTGCATATATCGTCGGGGGACCTTAATTCGTTATGGTCATAGAGTCGTGACCCTTTTCTTTTCCTTGCATATCTGGCAAGATTCTTTTTACAGTTGCACCAAATAGCCTAAAATTCCTTTTTTAGTTGGATAAAATTTCACCTGATTTAGTATTAAAGCCTCATTTACCAACTCTTATGACAAGAAAGTCATTCGCACTACTTCGCTTTATTTACATTATTTCGACGGCATTATCCGAATACGAGTTATTTGGCCTTTTTAATTTCATTTCCACTGAGGTCACAACTCTAGAACCTGTCTTTAAAGATGCCGGGGTTATAAATAGGCAATTCGGATGAGACGAAAACAATCAATAAAAACAAGATTTTTCTTTAAATGACCATTTCGCTTGAACGAAAAAATATATATATTAGGTATGACTTAGAAATGAAACTGTATTTCAAAATTATTTTGAAAATGTACACAATCAGTTTAACAGGGTAACAACTCATGGACCTCCGAGGAATTAAAAAGGAATAATAATTTTTCTCCTAATTTTTTTAATATTTTATTCTCATTTAATGGTTATTTACTAAATTCCGTAAATTTATGAATGTTATGTCTTTGTAATACTATAGTATTACAAAAACATAACATTCATTAAGGTACAATACCATGTAAAATACATCAAAATCATGTTTACCTAATTGAAAAGAATATAAGAAGAGTTCAGGGAAATGATGAGGTTTCCTAGACGATTTTTTCAATCCTTTGGAGTCGCCCGCGTGGTGCAGTGGTTAGAACGTCTGCTCTAGAGTCGCGAAGTAAGGAGTTGATCCTTACGTCAAATACCATTGTGGGACGTGGAGACCGGTCCTTCGGATGAGACCGTATAAACCGAGGTCCCGTGTCGCAGTAGGTGTTGGCACGAAAAAGATCCCTCACTGCTCAATGGCCGTAAGTGCCGAGCATAGGACAAAATTTGCAGCTCTCCACCGGCAAATGGTGGCGTCTCCATATGAGTGAAAAATTCTCGAGAGGGACGTTAAACAACATACAAACAAACAATCCTTTGGAAGTTTCGTCAGAAGTTGATAGATTTTTCAGTGATATCGCTTTAGATCCGCCATAATATTTTTCACATGTAGGTTGATCTTTAAAAACATATGCCATGCAAAATACAGACATTTTGTCCTTTGCCTCCTGTTTTGTAACTTCTCGTAGTTTTACATCTGGCAGCATTGAAATACCAATTATTTTACATAGACGGGCGTTCCATACGCTCGATGTAACGTCATCAAAACAAAAAATGACGTCATAATTTCATGTTATGGTGCAGAAAAGCATGAATGAAACGGAAAGGTGAACACAGAACAGGCGTTCAAAAGTTTTCTAATTTATTTATATCGGTAAGACTACTTATATCATTAAAACAATTTGAGTTTTAAGCAGAGTTTTGTTGCTTTGCTGAGTTGAGTTTCCTCTGCGTTCGTGGTACACTTTTTTGGGTCGAAACTCACGAGAGTAAAACAAAGTTTACTCTCTCTCAGACTTGAGTTGAGTAAAATAAAACGTTCGTGGCCCCGGGTCCTTAAACTATTCGTCTGCTAACATTCCGGATGTATTTAACTCTACCATACGGTTTTTGCAATTACTGAGTGTTATGCGTTTCCAGTTATATAACGAAATCCCGGTAATAAATCAGTCTTTCAATGTTAAGTACTACCAGACTTCTTTTTAAACATAATAATTCTAAGGACATGATTTTAGAACGGATATATGCTAAAATATGTACTGAAGGTAAACATAATCCACGTAATTAGAATTAAGCACAGACGTTTGTTGTACCAAGTGTAAACATGCATCTTTAGTTCTATTACGAAAACTATGAAACATAAATTCTAAGCAACACTAAAGATTTTGCTATACAGGCGCAACAATAATCATGATAAAAATAACAACAGTTTTTCTTGATCTTTTAAATGGATCGTTTGAAGAGAAAATGAAATGACGCAGGAATTGTCACTTAAAGGCACAATTTTATTCCTTAAATGAAAGGCTAGGCTTCCAGGTATGATAGACAACTGCTTCGTCAAAAGATGAAGAAAATACTTGTTGTGGTCTTCAATTCGACATTCAAATAAACGTGTATACGTTTTATCAATTAACAATAGTTACTTCCATTCATATGTCGACTGGGTATATCCCAGTAAACTTGAAATAAAAGACACCACAGAATCTGCCACATCTGTTTCATATTTGGATGTTTTACAAACTAAAGACGATAATATAAGATCCAACTAACAACTTAATTGTATGACAAACGAGATCATTTCAGCTTTTTCATCGTCAACTTTCCTTATTTATGTAGTAAAATATTATTTATGCAGATGTGAGGCAACTAAACAAAGAATGCTGATTTTCCTTAAACAGCGAAAGTATTGGCTATAAATTGGTTTGTCCGTTTTTATGCTCTGTTGATATAGTGCAATTGGTTGCATATTAATTAACAAAGTAGTAAATGAATTATTCAATAACTAGTTATAATTTATATATCGAATCAGTCTGCTGCAAAAATTATATACTGATCCCTAGATCTATGTCTAGGAATTAACGAAAATGGGAAATGAACAATTAATTCACTTTCTATCAATGTCAATTAGCAGTTTGAATGTATTTCATTCCAGAAGTTTGAAATTTATAAGAGCTTAAACCTAAATTATCAATCACAGATGAATTGTTATTTTAATGAAGTTTAGTATTGATATCAATATCCTGGCGATAGAACGTTTTATTTTGATGAGGTTATGCAGTTCCATAACGCACTCCTTATGTTTCTTACTTACATCACTTTATGTTTCCAGAAATATCCGTAATCACGAGGAGTGATAATAAAAAGGTTACCAGCTATTCCCAATACGCCTCGTGATATAAATGTTGTAAAGGAATTAATATCCAAATATCTGTTATTTGTTTAATTGCACACTTTTT